GTTTCATGATTCTTTACTAAACACATTGCACAAAAACTTCCTTTATTTTGAGTGCTGTGGTGATCAATCTTTTGATCTCTCTCACCTAATTCAAATACGCTAAAAATTTTGGGGTTGTCTTCTTCTAAATAATTAATTTCTAAAAAAGGATTATCGATATATAGGTGCAAACGTTTTCCCCCAGGTTAATTCAGTTTAACTGTACCGATGGAGTGAAACGCCGCGATTTACCTGAAGTCTGGTGTGAGCTCGCCACCATGTGGTCAAAAGGGAACGGATAACGGTTTAAAAATAGAACCAAAAAGAGAATGAAGCAATATTTAGTAAAAACACTTTCTAAGTGCATTATCTATTTTTAAATACAACAAAGTAAAGACGTTATGTAAAAACAAAAATATGAAAATGAAAATGGACTTTTTTGCAGTAACATTTGCTATTCTTTTCATGAAAACTTATGAGTTTTTCTTTAATTATAAAACTACGTGTGTGTATGGGTTTGTGTATGTATATATACATATTTATACAAATGAGCATATATGAAAAATTCTCAAAAATTTAAATATAACTTGAGTAACTCCTAGAAATAATAATTATTGACAGTCGGGCTTATTTATTTCTGGAAAAATTCTCCAAACGTGTTTGTATGTGAGTTTTTATACTTAAAAAATTCTTCATTTTGCCCAATTTTACATCTAACTAATCTTCCACATTATTATGTATTGTCTTAATAATTAAGAATTCTATCAATATAATTATTTTTGGACACTGCATCAATATTTTCCAAAAGATTTTTTAAATTTAATTTTGTTTTTGTTTATAACATTAAGTGTTAAATACAGTTGGAATCGTTTGGATTAAACATAGTTAAATGGGCTTATTTCCTGTATAACTTCTCTGAACTTTTCAGTGGGATCAAGGCACTAAAAATCACTAAAGTAACACACCATGTTTTTCAGTCTTACTGATTCACACTACATGTCTTCAATTTCCAAGCTAAATATTGTACTAAATTTTTTGTTTTCAATAATTGTTTTTTTTTTTGTAAAATACTAAATTTGTGGCAATTCGTTACACAGCAACAGAAAACTAGTTCAGTTTTGGTACTGAAAAACAAAGCATTGCTATAACAAATGCTTAAAGATTGGGAACAGTTAGAGACCAGTGGCTGGAGGGATTTTGAAGAGCATGAGAGAAAAAAAAAAGCTTAAATTGCCTTGGACAGACAGTGAGTAGAAATCTGAATTTGGAGGGCTGTGGAAGACTCACAGAAGTGAGGAACGTGTTATTAGGGACTGGAGGAAGGAGAGGTGTGCTTTGTAGCAGCAGAAAGCTTAGCAAAGTTGTGTTCTGCAGGTGCGTGGCAAGCAGAACTTGCGAGTGACAGATATAGGCTACCGAGCTAAGTAAATTACTGAGTTAAATGTTAAACGTGTAGCCTGGTTTCCTCTTGCTGCTTATAGTAACACATGAGAGGGGCGAAATAGATCAAAGGAAGAATTATTAAACAAAAAGAGAATTAGAAATGGATGATTTTAAACTTTCCCAACTTCCCCAGGTGGTAAAGATGTCGAAAGTCAAAAAAGACTCCTAAAAGTACAGCGTAGAGAAAAGGCTGAATGTGTGACGGGGTAAGCTTTGCTAAACCATCAGAAACATCAAAAGGTCACAGTGTTCAGTAACAAAAAGGCGCTTGCAAGAGGTTAAGGCCGTCCCTTGCAAATCCTCTACATCTAACTGGCAGGATTAAGGGCACCGTCTGTCAGTCATCCGGGCAGGAGCCCAAGAGAAAAGATTATCTCAGAGATTTATGGGTGTGGCTTCTGCCTGATGGAGCAAAAGCCACTGAATTTCAAGCAAGGCCCACAAGGTTCTTGAGAAAATTGTTTCAGTGGAAATACTGTCAATTTGGGCTAGAAGGGACAACGGGAGAACTGAATGAGGGGAGGTGGTTGGAATCCCAAAATTCTAATGGCAGGAAGCAATCTGATAAAACTACTCAGCTGCAAACATACAGTACCTTTCATGAGAAAGACTCAGAAAACTGAACCAAGAGAATTATTCCAAGACCTTGTGTATCCATGGCCATAATCCACTACTCAAGGGTCCAGGAGTAGAATATGCTTGAGCAAGGGCACATGGGGGCCTCCAATATACTAGTAACATTCTGTTTCTTTCATTTGGGCAATGGATATACTGGTATGGTAGTCTTTAAATCATACATATATGTTTCATACACTTTGTAGTATTTTAAATTGTAGTGTAATACAGTGAAATGTCCCTTTCACGGGGGTAGTGCAGTTTTATTATTTAGTCATATCACCACCTCCCTAGGCTGGGGATACATGAATCTGCTGCTTTTCTCAATCATCACAGAAATTTGGGGTTGCTTGAAGCCATACTCCTCCTCATACAAAGTTAAGCCACCTCAGAAAGACCTGCAAGTACACGTCTACCATTTTGAGCGAGTGAACCCATCGCAGAATCCAAGGACCCAAATGGAACGCTTACTGTTGAACGGGATGGACTTTTCCGCTACAAGCCTGGCAACGGTTTTAACTAATTAGAAAGTGCACTTTAATCCTAGCACCGTTTTTCTTTCTTGCAAAGCAAAAGCTCTCATCAGCAGGTTTTCCCAACAGCCTCTGGAAATTTTGGCCAGCCTTCAGGTACTGGTATAACAGGAACTACAATGAACAGCTAGTTTGAACTTGGGAGAGAAAAAGTAAAAAATTAAATAAAAGAGGGTCTAAAGGTGAGAGATGAAGGAAGTCAGAGAGATTCCTAACTGTAGTAAATACTCCTACTGGCTATAAGGAACAAACTGCCAAGAGATTCCTAACTGTAGTCAATACTCCTACTGGCCATAAGGAACAAACTGCCAAGAGATTCCTAACTGTAGTCAATACTCCTACCGGCCATAAAGGAACAAACTGCCAAACGATACAGAGGGCCTCGTGGCAAGGAATTGTGGGAGATCTACAGGAACCAAGAATGTCCTCCAGTTGTCAGACTTCAAGAAAGCAGGAACCTCAGTCCCGTTCCAAAGTACTGGATTTTTCCAACAACCTGAAAGAGCTTTGACGAGGCCTCCACACATTAGAGGGAAACCCGATTCAGGCTGACTCTGACGTTAGCCTGGTGAGACCCTAAGGAGAGAACTCACCTGAGCCCTACCTGGACTTTTGACACACAGAAACTTGGGTGAGTACAGGGTGTCGTTTTAAGCTGTAGGTTAAGTGTGAGGGAGTTTGCAACTCAGCAAGAGAAAAGTAACACATATTCCTATTGCAGTGGTGTGGGACTTTTTCAGGTAATAGATGATCTAAATGTCAATCTTAAAATATTACTTAAAAGCATTAATGAATATATTGCCTTCACCAGCCTGAGCAAGAGTGAGACCCTGTCTCTACTAAAAATAGAAAAAAATTAGCTGGGCATGGTGGCACGGGCTTGTAGTCCCAAGCTACTCAGGAGGTTGAGGCAGGAGGATCGCTTGAGCAAAGGAGTTTAAGGTTGCTGTGAGCTGTGATGATGCCACTGCACTCTACATAGGGTGAAAGAATGAGATTCTCTCTCTCTCTCTCTCTCTCTATATATATATATATAGATAGATAGATAGATAAAACTTTTTATCAACATAGTACTATTTCTAAATTTGGTACTTCAGGACATGTGGCATGATAAACTGTAATTGTAGGAAAACAAAAAATAGTGATCACTCCAACATCAGTTTGATTGTAAACGTTGTTCAGGTGCCATTGCTGGATTATCAGCCTAATTGTCAATCCTTTTTCATTTTGACACTTATTTACATTCCTCCATTTATTCTTCTGTACCCTCGGTAAACACTTAAATGCCCAGGCACTGATGGCACAAAGATGAATAAGATGGTTTTCCCCTTAGGGAGCTGTGTGACCACGCCAACTCACATTCAGTTCAAGTGTGCAACTCACCGCGGAAGAGGCTCATTTGTATCTAGTGTTCCGCCCCGCACTCCCCACCGACACCCTCAGTTACTTTCGTGAACTATGCACTGGAAGATTGTATTCCAAGAAGTCTGTTTCTCTTCTCATAGAGTTTCCTTTTCTCAAGCATTTGTTTATGTTAGTTGGGTCTCTGCTTTTCTGACACCAGGATTGATTTTATTTCACCATTCAGTTTTATCTTTTTCTGTCTAGAACAAGCTTATAGCCTGCAATCTGCCTCTTCTTAGCATTCTGTCCCGGATAGTGCAAAATCCTAATTTTGTAATAACTAAGTAAAATTGTCACATTATTTTAATAACTAAAATTAATGGATCCTAAAGGGAAAAAAATGAAAGATTTAAACTCTGTAACACTCTGAGAATATACACCAAAATACGTTGATAATGGTCAACTCACTTTAATCCTTCCCAGCTTTGTTTAGATGTAAAAAAGAAAAAAAGTTTACTTTAAATACTTTGTTGATGATGGAAAAATAAACTAGCACATTTTCAAATTTAGAGTTCTTTATTTTAAAGAATCAAAGAGAATAAGGAGGCCAAAACATAACTCTTCTCATTTAATATTTCACAATAATATTTCCTTTATCCCTCTAGAATAGTCAAGGCCAAACACAATTACAAGTTTTGAATAAATACTAAGATCAAAAGGCATTTTATTCACTATGTATTTCAATAAGGAAATAAAATGTTATGTACAGCAGAAAGCAGTGCTAGCAATCATAACACAGTATAAATTGATGTCTTGAGTACATAAATCTCAGTGCTTCACCATTGTGAACTGATGTGTCTTAAAAAGATTAAGACCGCTTAATGAATGTAGCAAATATTTACTTATATATGTCACACAACAGCATAAATGCCATGGCATAGATTTAAATATAAATAGTATACCAAATATGCTGGAAAGATACTTAGTATAGGTGATATTTCGGCAGGTCTTTCTAAATTAGATACAAAATATACTACAAATAAGAGAAAATATTACTATGCTGAAATATATATATAAATTTTAAATATTTATTGACATAGAAACATTTTAATTAAAATAAACAGGGAAACGTTGAACTGGAGAACAATCGGTAAGATAAACTACAGGCAATAGATAATCTTTTATCCTATAAAGAATAAGCGATTGTATTCAAAAATAAAAAAGATAAGCATTTTAATAGAAAATGGGACAAATAAATTACATAATCAATTCATAAAAGAAACATGAATGTTTTAATGATATGAAAAACAAACACCTACACATATGAGTAAGCCAAGAGATATAAATTCAAGTGGTAATGAGACACCATTTTCATCAATCAAACTGTTAATAATAACGGAATAGTCAATTTTGGAGATGGTGTGGTGAAATGAAAGCATATGGACTTCTGGTAGGGAAGTAAAAGCTTCCTGAGGGCAGCATCTTCATGTCTTTCTGCTCTGTCGTTACATCACCTCTGCCTCTTCAACCTCCTGCCTCCCCTACCTGTTTTTACATTGGGCCCACCTGGGTAACCCAGAATAGTCTCCCTTCTTGAAATCCTTAATCACACCTGTGAAGTTCCAGGTACATACAGTAGCATTCACAGGTTGTGGAAATTAAGGTGTAGCTACAGTGGGGAGCCCATATTTACCTTACCATGGTAGACTTGATATTTCTGTTTTGTGTTTTGGTTGTTTTTATTAAACTAATGGGTTCTTTGTCTGAAATTATAAAAATAATAATTTAGTTGACTTGAAAGCTGAAGGTATACAAGGGCTGTCCGGAAAGCATCCAGCCACATAACCGTTCTCGTCGTATTAACAATGGCTGGGTACTTTCTGGACAGCCCTCGTCCAATGCCCACTGATAATGATATTAAATTAAACTCATGGCCCTCTTCACGCCTTACTACTGAATAAGTACTCTTCCATCTAAAGACATTATCTTTAAAATTAAGTATTATATTACTATTAAAAAGTTTGTCAAGTCTATGTATATTTGGAATTTTAAAATTATTGTTAAACATTTTCAGAAACAAAAATCACAAATCAGCCATTTAAAAAAAATTGTTTTGCGGATCAACACTTAAGTGGACGTACAGGAATAACATTTATCAGATGTCGGGCAGGTGGGAGGGGGGAGGGGGGACATGGGCAATATACGTAACCTTAACATTTGTACCCCCATAATAAGCTGAAATAAAATAAAATAAAATAAAAATAGTTTTGCTTTTTAAAAGAAAACCTGAAATGGAATGACAAAATGTGTGAGAACATGAGCTCCTTGTCAGTCAACTAATTCTGCCACTTTCTCGTGTGTGATGCCTGGACTTTAATCCACAATTCCCTTTCCAGAAAATAGAGGAAACAGTACAGGGCAGCCAAAAAGTTTAAATATATGTGTCTGGAAATGAGCAAATCGTCAGTAGGAAGTGGCTAATATTATATCTGTAAACAGGATAACAACATACTAAAACTTTGATAGTTAACACTTCCTTACTTTCAAATATAATGAGGCTATTGAGCAAAGGAAAATAAAATAAAATCATATAATCTGCCAGGGGCCAACCAACCCTTCCTTTCTTCCTTTTCTCCTCCCTTCCCTCCTTCCTTCTTTCTTCTTTCCTCCCTTGCTTCCTTTCCTTTCTTAAAAAAATTACTTTTGATTGAGTTGAATGGTACCATAAAGAAAACAACTGTCAAAAATATTTTATTATTTGAAATGAATTTTTGATGGACTTTTATTTCTGACCTGTCCATTCAACTCAAATCATTGTAAAAGATTTATACCTATAGATATATAGTTTAATGGAATAACTTAAAATTTAACATCAATTCTATCAAGTAGTTTTTTAGAATAAAACAATTGTCAATGTAAATATTAATAATTTTGGCTTCTATGTTTGTTCACCAAATGGTGCAGAACTTTCACTGAACATTTTAGATCAGTGTTGCCTTTAGTAAAGTGTGTGGGTCTTCAATAAATCATTTACATAAGAATAAAGGCACCAAATTTCTTGTAATTTTTGGTAAGATCCTTGGGAATAATATATATTGATCTAATATTGGCTTCACAGCTACCATAGCTTGTGTCTGTCACTGAAAATACATGGAGACAGAAAATTATTCTGAATTGTCAGCATTTGAACTAGGAGAATGACAAGCTTGAGGTTATGGTGGTCTCTTTATGCTAAGCTCTAATCTTTACTTACTACAACTCCCCTTTTGGGGACGTAGCATGTTCAGCAGTGAAACCAAATATTACACCTTGATAAGAACAGTGTGTCTAAACTAACCAACTGTTTCAGACATGTATACATCATGAAAACAAACCTTGGATGACACATCCAGGATCTAACAGTAATCAGCGTACAGGCTCCAAAGAAATTTAATATCCTCCTTACTGTAATTATAATGTCTAATTACACACAATGAATAAATTATTGTGTGGCTGATTCCAGGCAGACATAATGAGAATATAAAAATGTATAATAATTTCTTGGAACTAAAGAAGAATGGATAAATCATGATTGGGTTTACCCCCTGTGAAAGGAAAGAAGTTGTCTTTATCTATAGAATATAATTTTACATGAAGATATGTTTCTCTTTTCTTAATATCATGTCTTTATGTAGATTGAGAATATGCAATTTTAGCACAGAGACTGGAGAGCAATCTAATAGATGTATGTGAGATTAACTTGAAATTTGTGAACAGAATTTCTTGTACTAAAAATGAGATTAAGGTACATCTCACTTGATAATACTAAATATTTTTGACCAATAACAGTCACAGTGGAACAGAGAGTTTTGGAAAACAGATATTGATTTTTCAAAACAAATATGAAGATGATAAAGGACAGGGAAAGAAGTTGCACAAATCTATTTCTGGCCTTAAATCTGGTCAGTATTTTTCAAATAAAATGTCATTTCATCTAATTGCATAGCTTAAGGGACATTTGAAGTTTAATGTGGTGCATGGGGCAGTTTTCCCCTTTATTTTGGAAAAAAAATTGTTTGAAGGGCAATTCTAATGTCTAAATATATATATACTTACATTACATATATATTTATATTCCTGTTTCTTTAATTAGAATACTGCAATTAAAAATTATTAGCAAACTATACATTCTGAAACCAGTTTTTAAAGTTCTTCTAATCC